ACAAGTAGGCCCTAGCGGAGGGAGCGGGCGCTGCAGCTGGCGGGCGGGCAGGAAGGCAGGAGCACCCCCGCCCCCGGGCTCCCCGCCTCTGGCAGAGGGGGCGCCGCTCGGCCCACGGCTTTGCCCTTGGGGCGTCCTTGGCGAGAGGAGCCGCCTCCCGGCGCCTGATGCTGCTGGCGAGCCCCTGGGGGCTGGCTCTCACAGGAGCCCCCTCTGCCAGCTGTGGGGGGGTCAGCACAGCCTGCTCGGCCTCTGGCCGCAGGACTTTTGCGCCTTTATGTTCGCAAGCGCCCCATCCACGGCCTCACCCAGCCCCAGCCTCCCGCTCAACCTCTGCCCTGCCCTAGCCAAGCGCCCCATCTACCTGACAGGGAAGGAGGCTCTGGCAGGGGACGGTTTTCCTGTCCTGGTCCAGTCACGTCTCTGGGCAGAGTTTCACTCGGCAGTGGCCACCAGCTCCTTGGACTCATTTGAGGCCCAGTGTGCTCTGTTCTCGATTTACTCATTTTGAAACTTTGACCTCACTCCTGTCCCTGTTTTGTCTTTAGCTGTCCCTCAAACTCAATCAATGTATATATGCAGTAGTCCCCCTTACTAACAGGCTAACCGTTACTCCATGGGCATTGAGCCCATGTTAACTTTGTGTGTTAAATAGGCCTCAATGGCAGGGATGTGGAGCTGGACGGGAAGGGATCTTGTTTAGCAACAAGAGGAAGATCAAGCAAAGTGTGGGTCCCTTACTGAACAGTGGAGGCAACATAGTGACAGATGATGCAGCAAAGGCTGAAGTGCTCAATGCCTTTTTCACCTTGGTCTTCACACACAAGGTCAAGCTAGACATGTACAAGTCCACTGGGCAAGATGCAATACATAGGAAGGTGCTGAGGGACTTGGCTGATGTGATTGCAGAGCTGCTGGCCATCATCTTTGAAAACTCATGGCAATCAGGAGAGGGCCCAGAAGATTGGAAGAGGGCAAATATAGTGCCCATCTTTAAGAAAGGGAAGAAGGAAGATCCAGAGAACTACAGACCAGTCAGCCTCACCTCAGTCCCTGGAAAAATCATAGAGCAGGTCCTCAAGGAATCCATCTCTAAGCACTTACAGGAGAAGAAGGGTTTTTAGGAACAGCCTGCATGGATTCACCAAGGGCAAGTCATGCCTGATCAACTGATTGCCTTCCGCGATGAAGTGACTGGCTCTGTGGATGTGGGGAGACTGGTGGATGTGGTGTACCTTGACTTTAGTGAAGCTTTTGATATGGTCTCCCACAACAGTCTCACAAGCAAGCTAAGGAAGTACGGGTTGGGTGAATGGACTGTAAGGTAGATAGAAAACTGACTGGATCATCCAACTCAGCGGGTAGTAATCAATGGCTCGATGTCTAGTTGGCAGCCAGTATCAAGTGGAGTGACCCAGGGGTTGGTCCTGGGGCCAGTTTTGTTCAATATTTTCATCAGCAACCTGAAAGATGGGATAGAGTGCATCCTCAGCAAGTCTGCAAATGATACCAAGCTGGGGGGAGTAGTAGATACACTGGGTTCAGGGCTAGGATTCAGAGTGACATCAACAAATTGGAGGACTGGGCCAGAAGAAATCTCAAGGTTCAACAAGGACAAGTGCAAAGTCCTGCTCTTAGGATGGAAGAATCCCATGCACCAGTACAGGCTGGGGATTGACTGGCTAAGCAGCAGCTCTGCACAAAAGGACCTGGGGGTTAAAGTGGTCAGTAAGCTAGATATAAGCCAGCAGTGTGCCCTTGTTGCCAAGAAGGCTAATAGCATACTGGGCTGTATTAGTAGGAGAGTTGCCAGAAGATGGAGGGAAGTAATTACTCTGCACTGGTGAGGCCACATCTGGAGCACTGGCGATGGGCAGGGGGTGCACACAGGCGCATGTGCACCCCCTACAAAAAGGCACCGCTGACCCTGCTGGTGGTGCCTGCGGGCAGTCACCACTCGCCACCTCCGCCACTGACCCCACTGGCAGCATCTGCGGGCAGTCCGCGATCGCTGTTGGCCACCGCCACAGTCCCACCGCTGCCAGTACCGCCACCTGCCAGAGCTCGCTATGCCCCCCCAGCCACCAGGGGCACATGGCATTCATGATCTGGAGTACTGTTTTCAGTTTTGGGCCCCCACTATAGAAAGAATGTGGACAAGTTGGAAAGGGTCCATCCAGCAGAGGGCAATGAAAATGGTTGCAGGGCTAGGGCAGATGATTTATGAGGAGAGGCTGAGGGAACTGGGCTTATTTACTTTGGAGAAGAGAAGACTGAGGGGATTTGATAGCAATAGCAGTCTTTTAACGACCTGAAGTGGAGTTCCAAAGAAGATGGAGCTAGGCTGTTCTCAGTGGTAACAAATGACAGAACAAGGAGCAATGGTCTCAAGTTGCAGCAAGGGAGGTTTAAGTTGGATATTAGGAAACATTTCTCACTAGGAGGGTGGAACAAGTTACCTAGAGCGGCGGTAGAATTTCCATCCTTGGAGTTAAAGCCTGGTTTGACAAAGCCCTGGCTGGAATGATCTAGTTGGGCCTGGTCTTGCTTTGAGCAGGGGCTTGAATTAGATGACCTCCTGAGGTCCCTTCCAACCCTAATTTTCTATGATTCTATGATCTTTCATCTATAGCCTGAGACAGGATCATCCCTATACAGTGGTGCTCAACCTTTTTCCATGGCTGGATGGGCAGTGCTCTGTCTGTCCGCAGGCCAGATCCCACCAGTGGCCCTGATCTGGCTCTGGCCCTAGTACAATGGGCACCATCTGGCCATGTGGAAGGGGGCGGGGGGGGTAGCCCCACCACATCCCAGCCCCAGAGGGGAAGGGGATGTGGCCCAATCCAGATGCGGGAAAGGGAACATGGCCTGGCTGCAACCAGGCACACAGGACTTGGGGTTTAGGAATTTGGCAGGGTGATAGTGACCATATTAATGGCCACTGCTCCCCTGCCACCATATTTCCCATCTCATGGAGAAGCTTTGTGGACCACATGTGATGACTCCATACTTGACCCACAGGCCAGGGATTGAGTACCCCTATTCCATACTTGACCCACAGGCCAGGGATTGAGTCCCCCTGCCCCTATGCAAACCATCCTATACAAATCCATCATCTAACCCAGGGATTCTCAACCAGGGGTGCCACAGCACCCTGGAGTACCTTGAGATCCTTTCAAGGGTGCCACTGGGGTGCCACCCAATGTTAGCACTGTGAGGTGTGCAGACCTGATTCACAAGATAAGCCCAGCAATTCAAAATAGAAATCCATAGTTGCAGACTTTCTCAGTTCTTGGCAACAGAAAAATGGCTTTGTTATTTATCTGCACTCAATAACAGAATTAAAACTAAGAGGCATCCATTTTCCAAGGGATGCACCAAGCCTATCCAAAGATGCCTCACATCTGAAAAGGTTGAGACACCACCATCAACTTTGGGGTACTGCAGGATCATCTCTGCAATGTTTCTAGCCTTCCCCCTCAGGGCAGTGTCGCTGAGATAAGCCCTTGGTAGGCCTTGGCAGGGAGATGGGACTTGCACTTTTCTCTGGAAGGAGGATGGGGCTTGAACTGTGTTCTGAAGAGGCAATAAGATTTTGTGTGGAGGCAACTGCAGAAGTGAGAGCCTAAGAGGCAAATATCTCCATGCACCAAGACAGCCAAAAGGCTCAGTAGTAGAGCCTCATTAGTAGCTGGTGCCTGTTTAGGTATGCAGTTCCTGTCCTACACTCTCCTAAACACAGGGACCATTGCATCCAAGTGGGTGGGGAGGCTAGAAAGTTTACCCCTTCCCCTCTGCTCTGGCCAGCAAATCTGAGTGACTATAAAAGTGTGTGTATGCAGGGCATAGTAGTGAATACAGTCCCCTGTGGGCTCAGAAGGAATTGTGCAACTACACACAGTTTTCCATTCAGGGCTGTGGTTTAAAGCCACAAGAGTCCCAAGGGAGAGTATAGGAGCCCAAATTATACATGGCAAAAACTAAACAAAAAGAGGTAAGATGCAATTGCCACTTACCATGCCTCTCCCCTGCTAAATGCTACACCCTATGTTCTGATTCCCAGTCGCGACCCTCTACCTTCTTCTTCCCCACTTTCCATCTCTTCTGATGGCCTTCTTTCTACCTTCCTTGGTAACTATCCCATCTTAAATGGCTCATTCCAAACCCCAGGTGTTAGAACTGATCACTCAAAAAAAAACAAACAAAAAACAAAAACACCTTGTGAAAAGCCTGGTGAACAAAATGAGATTCGTCATACCCCTTAGGTTATGCACTGGCATAATCACAGGATCAGGATACTAACATAGCCTGGTCAAAATCCTGCATATCTGCATATGCTATAAGGAAAGACCCAGAGGCATAACCCAATATATCTTCAGCAGTTCACCAAACTATGCTCCTGTGCTATCTAACCTGGCTATAATGACCAGCAGTAAAAGGGTTCAAAATGTCAAAGTTTCTAAGCACCCTTAGGTTCCTACCTTAATATCTTTGTGAGAAATAATAGAGGCATTTCATCTTTCTCAGAGCTACCCAGTTTCTCTGCAGACTAAGACAACACTACTGTATCATTCAGACACCTGCAGTACAATTGGAAGAGCTAGACTCTTTGGCCCAAATCCAACTCCACCTTTAGTAAGTAGTGTTTATGTGGCTAAGATAGCAGTGTAAGTGCCATTTGAGGCCAGTAAGGCAGATTTTAGAGCCTGCTCCCTCTGGGAAGCATGGAATCCATGTCAAGTCATAAAAAGTGGAGGAGAACCTTGCCCTCAATAGTGCTTTTGCATTTTGCATTTAATAGTCATTGGATAAAATGAATACATACCAATCAGATAGCTTCTGTACTATCTCACTGAGTTGCACTTCCATGGCTTTGCTCTCCTTAGGACCCCATAGTTCTCCCCTCTTGGCTCCCCAGTAGACCATCTTCAACAGGAGACGTGGAGGATACTTCACAGTAATACTTAGCCCATGGCCTCATGGTTAAGGCATTTTGCTGGAAAATGGAAACCATAGGTTCAAACCTCCTCTGGATGCAGGGTGGGGCCTACAACCTGGATTTTCTGCTCCCTAGGTAAGTATCCTAACCACTCAAGCATTGTGCTAAAAAGGTGCTCTCCCCTGCCTCTTCAATTTCATGATTGTTTCTGAGGTCTGACAATAAGAGAGAGGAGACAGTAAATGTATGTGTAAGCTTGGGACTTAAATGTCTGATGTCTCCTAACATGAGGGACAGCTGAGATGTTTACCTAGGATAACTTGTTCAACTGCAATTATTTTTTCTTGTTTATGTGAACTCTGAGCACAAGGATACTGAAATATGTGATTGGAAATGTTTGCCTGTTACACAAATTATTTAAATTAAAAGATGGGTGACAGTTTAAATATAAGTGGCAAATTAAGACCTATCAAAAGGGACTAGGGTGAGAGAAATGCTGAAGTTTCTGATAGTTACTTTGCCAACATTTTTCAGGAAATCCAAAACTTTCCCACATTTTTATGTTGTGGAATCTGCTTTATTATTGGAGATTGTCTAGAATAGGCTGGATAAGCACTTGTTTGGGATGGCTTAGGAATAAGGGCTCCTACAAACCCACTTGGACCAGATGACCCTTGAGGTCCCTTCAAACAGTCCAATTCTATGATTCTAAGACAAATAGCCAACATGAAATTTCACAGGTTTTCTCCAGTGCAAGCTAGTACAGTAATGTGCCTGAAATTTTACATTTATTTTCTGATTTTTAAATATTTTTTTTTTCTGGTTTCAGTAAAGTAGCAGATCAAATACCTTTAGTATAACAGCCTTCTCCTGGATCTTACTGCAGCAGAGAACAAGGTAACAACAGCCTCTTGCTGGTCTTTTTGACATGTAGACATACTGACATATAGACATGCCAAGTATTGGTAGCAGTTCAACCATGTTAACATGGTGCTCTGCCTGTATTAATTAGTATGAAAGGCAATGTTTTTTTTGTGATGTCTTTTATTGGATCAACTATACAGTTGGGAAACCATGTGAAGGGCTGGATCTGCTGGCTCTAACATTAAAACTATAAGAAATTAAAGTAAAAAAACAATGCAGAACTTTTGCATCCATCTTAAAAACTAGGATTTTGGTATGAACTAAAGCCTGGGGCATTAGAACTTGCTGCACTACTTAGACTCACCGTCCAATAAACAATTAAATTAAGAGAAACGGGCCTGTATTTTTGGAACACCCAGAATCAAATAGCAAACCCACTAAGCTCACATTGGCTTTGACATGGTACCTAGAATAAACGGCCTAATAATGGCGATCAAGCAGGTAACCTGCTTAAGCTTCCTTCTGCCTTATATAAAAGCCTTTTATTTATATAAAAGACTAAATTATATACATGGATAGCCCATGGAACCACATATGCCTATTGTTATCCTTAGCTTGCTTTCTTATAACCTGCATCCCCTCCCTGTGTTTTACATCTACAGCCAAAAATCCTGGCTTAATTTAGACTGTATATTTTTCAGGACCAGTCTCTTAAATATGTTGCCACTGCCCAGCACAATACATCCCTAACCCCGACTAAAACCTACAGGTGCTAGTGTAATGAGAGGCACAGGGATTTTCATTCTCACAACTGGGGTCATGGATTTTGCCTCTTCAAAGAGGATATTGCACAATGATTGGCTATGTAATTCCTCTGCAGTTATTTTCTCGAGTTGTGTTGCTGCAATGGTGAGCCTCATATTAGACATCGTAAATACAGAGAAAGAACAAATGCCTGCAAACAAAGCAAGTTATACAGCTGAAAACTCCCCCACAACCTCCGGGGGGGGGGGGGGGGGGGTTGTTTAAGAAACATCATCTTGCAAAGAATTCAATAAAACTACTCAAGGATTCAAGGCAAAAGGGACATTTTGTGAATTATTTGAATCAGAACATGTTTTCCTTGTTGAAATATCCTGATATATGGATCCCACAAAAGGAGAGCACAGACCAGTAAAGTTAGAGCTCTGTGAATTTCACGTCAATGCTATCCTAGCTTTGATCTTGAATTTCCAGTCCATAATGTACACAAAGCTCTTCTTTGCATCAATGGATCAGGCTGGAAATGTAGGATTATGCTCCCTCCACCTGGCTCTTCTCCTGTCACTCTTAGAAAATGTCAGAAGTGCACGCCTTGGCCTTATTAAGAATTGCTGAGCACTGGCAAATTCTGTTTGCTCTTACTAGAGTTGCAGAAGCTTGGTTCCTCTGCAGCTCAGGACACTGATGTGGCTGGGCTATGCACCGTCTTTGTCCTTTGCTTAGATTTTTTTATTTGGATTATATAAGAACAACTCTTCAAAATTTAAGCCATGTATAAAAAGTGTATTCCAGCCCTTGGTACATTTTCCTTATATGTGCGTAAGAGGCATGAAGTGCAGGGTGAATAAACTTCAAGCTTTTTTCAGAAATGTGACATTTCTGAAGATTAGGATGGGGCTGGAGAATGGGTGAGATTTACATTCTTTGGGAGGAAAAATAAGGCCAAGTTTTAAGATACTGAAGTCTAACTCCATATGTAGGCACCTTAAGAAGTGGCCTCATTTGCAAAAGTGTTGGGCACCCAATCTGCTTCTCTCTTCCAGCAAGAGATGTTGAAGGCTCAGTATTTTTGAAAACCAGACCATCTATTTAAGTACCTAAAAGCTGATTTAAGAGGCTAAGTATAAGCAGGCAGTGATTTTTAGAAATACTGAACAAGTTTAAGCTGGCCTAATAAAAGGCCCAGTCTGTTTTCCCTGTACTTGCTGTGCGTCTCTGTTTACAAAAAGTAAATTCACTAGGACTCAGTGACCAGGCCAGAAGGGACATGCAGCAGACAGGCAGGTGATTGTTCTGCTTTGTAACTTTCCCTGCTTCATGGCCTGTGATGCCTGAGGATTTTATGTTCCAATGGAGCTGCTTTAAAAGGTACTCAGAACTGAATCATCAGGTCACCAGGGAGGAAGACCTCACTTGCTCTCACCACTAATGCAATGTCCTAGGTTACTTTGCTGGGAGAAACACAGGCTTTGTAGCGCAGAACTTTGGAGCACAGATCAAGTTCTGTTGTCATAGCTACAATCAGCCAGGGGCTTGAAATCAGCATACCCTCTAGTTCACCTTTTCCCAAGCTATGGGGCATACCCCTGTGCCAGGGCCCAAAAGGTTCCTAGGCAATCAGTGGTGCCCCACCCCAAATTCAGTTGCCACCCGCCACTTTCCTCTCTGCTGATTCTCTTGCCCACACCCTGTACTTCAGCTGCTGCTGCCACTTCCCTTCTGAGAAATGCTGGTGACTGAAGTATAGGAGTGCAAGAGAAGGACATGAGTAAACTTCATGTGCCTATGATGGGGTGCAAACCCACAAGGGTAGGGAGATGCTGCTGTAGCTAATGTAGCTATACTGGCAAGCTCTCCTCCCCGCCAACACCATCTGGATATAGCTATGCCAGAAGAGGGCTTAGCTTTTTTTCATCCAGGAAGGTAGTATAACTATCCTGTGAGAAAAGCCTCCTCTGCCATATGCTACATCTTCACTAACATAGCTATGCCAGCAGCAGCCCCATAATGCAGACAAGCTCCAGTCCCACATTCAAGGCCATATCATGCAACCCACAGGGCTTATTACAGGTCCAGAAATTTGGCAGCAGGGAAGCAGTAATTAATGCCCCCTGCTCCTCTGTTGCCAATTTTCTAGACCTGTGGGCTAGATGACATAGCTCTGCAGGCTGCATCTGGCCCATAGGCCAGAGGTTGAGCACCACTGCTCTGTAACAGCCAAGAGCAAGGATCAGACCACTGGCAGCTTCTCTGCCATCCACCCTGAGGTGCACGTGCCAAGCAAAATGTTAGAGGTTGCCTACCCCAGGTGTACAAGCTGAGGGCTGTAAGTAACAACCTCAAATGGCATCTTTCAAGTGACACATGTCTCTCAAGAAACAGACTAACTCCTATCCTCACCAAGGTCTTGCAGCAGACCCAAATACCTGCTGTGCCACATCAATATAGACCACATCATCACTGGACCAAATAACAAGGAGTATAAAATATCTGAGGTTCATTCACCTACAAGTCTACCAATGTCATATACACCACCACCTGCTTACAATGCCTCTTTGCTGTCTACATTGGACAGATCTTACATGATTTCTTCATGTAAGAATGAATGAATACTGATCTGACATCAGCTGCAGAAAGAAACAACGGCCTGTGGCAGTACACTTTAATCTCCCTGGACACTCCATTGCTGACCTCAGGATGGCTGTTCTCAGGCAGCAATATTTTAAAAAGAAGTTTGAACAGGAAAATTGTAGAACAAGAAATTATCCATAGCCTGGGTTGCATTAAGTATGGTTTAAACAGGGAGCATGGATTCTTACTCATTACCTGGGTTAGCTTTGTTCCTATGATTTTTTTTCTTGTTTGCTGCCCCCCTTCTCTCACCCTCCTCCCTTCCCACCTTTTGTATTCAAATCACTCTCTCCATTTTATTGGCCTGTACATGACCTTTCACAGCATCTAATTAAGTGGGCTCCAGGTCATGAAAGCTTGTGCTAGATACATTTCTAAATTAGTTAGTCTATAAGGTGCAAAGTACACTGCCTTCTGCCTGACTTCAGACTAATATGGCTAACAACCTGTCTGTGTAAATATTGAAACATTAGTCTTATAGAAAAAGAACTTGGAAATGTGACTTTAACGTTCCTTAAAGGCACAAAAACCTAGGCAAAAAAAACATAAAATCCACACTTTTAAAATTCCATAATTTAAGACAGTTTGTTAGGGACCTGACTCATGATTTTTATATGTTTGGGGGCAGTATTACTAAATGCACCTCCACCATCTTCCTGCTGCACAGAGACTGCCTCCTCCACAAGGGCAAGTCACTACTTGCTATCACTGGCATTAAAGTCTCAGCACACTGGTCTCAGCAACCCAGAGAATCTACCCCTTAGTATTTAAATGATCTCTTTTCACTAGATTTTGCTTTTCTAATACCCCCAAATTCAGCCGTTTTTAATAATAGAAACTGAAAGTTTCCAGGCAGCACGGAAAGCACAGTTAGGGTAAGACATGGAAAGGTGCCGGTTGCTTGAAGTTCTACCCTATGGTCGAGCTGTCACTTCCCCTGGTGGTTGCTGGTCTGCTTTTTTTGGTTTGTTTATGAAAGCCACATGAAAAGCACAGATGTTCCTGCTTCAGCTGCCCCCCCCCCCCCCCCCCGACTGAGAAACCAGCAGTAATAGGGCATTTTATTTTCTTGAAGAATAAAATAAAAACAGATCCCTTGACTCCTAACAGAGCTCTGACACTTCTCTGCTAAGATAATGGTTATCTTCCTGATCCTTCCCAGATGTTGATTCAGGCAAGTTTCAATGGCTGCTCCCCTTCAGCTCATTTTTCCTCAGAACTGGAAGCAGCAGACACAAGATGGAGGAAACTGGATGGAGGAGAAAGGGAACACAGGCTTGTTCTACAGTATTTTACATCTCCCTTCTACAGCTTAAGTGCTGTACAGTTTATATACCATATACCTTTTTCTCAGGTGCAAGAGAAGTACAGGGGATTAGACAGCAGGACTCATTCTGTTTACACAACAGAGTTACTAGGGTAATATAGTGAAGATGATACTTTAGAAATCAATTTTATTGAATTAAACTGACAAAGAGCCCAAGGGCATGGACACAGGAATGGCTACACTGTGAGAAGCAATGCTGAAGGCATAAACATAGAGCAAACTGTGGCAGGTGCTGACAAACAAGCAGGCAGTGTTCAGAGCAGGCACACAAGAGCAGGCACAAAGAGAGGGTTTTGTCAAGAGCTGCACCAAA